CCCCGCCCCGTCTCTCTAGTCTGAGCATTCTATGGAAGCAGAAGCGCGTTTTATTGATTTTTTTATTTTCCAGTTCCAACATATAACTGACACACAACAGATGTGAAATAAAGTGTGGGATGAATACTGAAGGACCTGTCAGAATAGCCAGAATAAAAAAGAAATAACAAGTGCTGGAGGGGATGTAGAGAAAAAGGAACGCTTGTGCACAGTGGCAGAAATGCCAATGGGTACAGCCACCGTGGAAAAGAGTATGGAGGTTCCTCAAAAAATTGAAAGTAGAATTACCCTATGATCCAGAATTCTACTACTGGTATTTATCCAAAGAAAAGGAAAACACTAATTCAAAAAGATATATGCACCCTATGATTATTGCAGCATTACTTACAAGAGCCAAAATATGGAAGCAACCCAAGTGTCCATCCATAGATGGACATAGATGTCCACATATTATATATATTAAATGTGTAATATATATATTATATATTATACATATAAAAATACATATTATACGTATAATATATATAATATATATATATGTAATGGAATATTACTCAGCCACTAAAAAGACTGAGATCTTGCTACTTGTAACACCCATGGATGGACCTTTTACCCTAGGGTAAAATCCTAAGTAAAATAAAGAAAGTCAAATGCCATATGATTTCATTCATACATGGGATTTAAAAAACAAAACAAATGAACACAGAAAAAAAAGAGACAAACAAAAAACAGACTCATAAATACAGATAATAAACTGGTGGTTGCTAGAGGGGAGGTGGGTGGGGGGATGGCTGAAATAGATAAAAGGGATTAAGAGTACATTTATGATGAGCACTGAATAATGTATAGAATTGTTGAATCACTATATTGTACACTTGAAACTAATATAACACTCTATGTCAATTATACTTGAGTAAAAAAAAAAACTAAAACAGTGATTCTAGAGCTCTATCTCCCAACATCAAAGAGCATTTCTAATAGTCTACATTTATAGAATACAAATTTCAGAATGGAAAATATGACATCTTTACTTCTAAGTGACTCCGAAAGTCTGTGAAATAGAACTAAGATAAATTATTTCCAACATGTTTAATCCTGAAATATATGAGACTGTGAGAAGTAAGGAGTAATACTTTCCAACTTAATAAACAGATATGCAATATGAATACATCCCTGACAAATTCTGTCAGTAGGAACAATTGTTCTTATAATTACAGTGGCTAGTTTATGCAAAGTTCATAGCTTTAAAAATTATGAGAGTTTCAAAAAATACAATAAACATTTCTGTTTGGAAATTATGCAGCAATAATCTATGCAGGTATGGAAAAATATAAGCAAATAAACAAATACTTCTTTTTCATCCTGCTGTTTTTTTCTATAGGCAATAATATTATTAACTTTGTTTCAGTAAATATATCACTGTGCGGAGTCTAGTATCTTCAGATGCATGTACTTTGTATGCATAATCTACTATTTTACTTTTTAGTGACTCTAAAAGAGAAATCACAAAATAATAAGTGTTGAAAAATATCAAAGTACATACATGTTATAAAAGATTTAGCAAAACAGAGAATTAAAAAGTAAAATGGTATGGATGTAGAAACCTCCAAGAGACATCTAACATTTTGTGGTATGTTACAAGTTGTGTGGAAAATCCTAGTCCTGAAAAACGATGGCTTTCTGAAAGCAACCCATGACAGGCTAAGAGCAGTTTTCAGTTCCACAAGGAAAATCTGAAGGCCTTCAGCACTCTCTCCCTACCATACTCCCTTTCCATGAGAAGACGGAGCAGACAGGAGAAATACTTCCACGTATGGCAGCTTAGCTGTCTGGGATATAGCACCACAGGGAGAAGAGCCTCCCACAGAGCCAGAAATAATAAAGAACTTTCGAGTCAAAGTGAGTCAAAGAAAGAGAGCTTAAGGATAGGCTCTTCAAATAAAACCAGCAGCCTCTAGCCAATTAGAGCTCATATGAGTGAGCACAGTGTAGGGAAGACTGTGCAACCACACCCACCCACACTCACAGGTTAAGAAAGCAAATGACAATGACAACCAGTTGCATGGAAAAAATAACTTAGAGAAAGCTATATTATCTCTTGTCGGAAACTATACTTCCTGTATGAAAACAAGCAGATGTAGGCTTGCAGATAAACTGGGTGAGCAAACTGTTTATTCTGAAATATAAAGGTTCTGTATCATCTTTCCCAATTATCTCCAAAACCTCAGCTCCTTCCATTCCGCTCCTATCCCTCCATACTTCTTAGGCTGCAATCCCCCAACTCCTCTTTGCATTTCCAAACATTGCATTTTTTTCCACTTCTTTTGTGCATTTAAGGATTCTTCTGCCTAAAGAGCCCTTTTCCTGTTTCTACTCCATTCCACTCATGCACAAATTTCAAGATACGGTTAAAACACATCTCTTTTGCGAAGACTCCTCTCCCAAGATAACATAAATTGCTCCTTTCTCACTGGTTTTTAGTCCATGATGGCAGTGATCACATTATATGACATTGCTTATTTTTCCTTCTATTCCACTATATTATAATGTTGCTAAAAATGGAAATCTTGTTTGTAGTTTTAGGCCTAGCAAAAGTCTAGTTCAGCATTTGATACATAGTAGATGCTCACATTATGTGGATTAAAAAATTTAATAAATATAAAATGGAGGTAGAAATACCTGCTTTATCTACTTTACATCTCATTGAAGAACAAATGAGATATGTGTGTGAAAAGTATAAAGTACTATCCATATCAATGTAGAGATGAGGATTACAAAGATGACTGTTAGTATCATCAGCCAGTTTCTCTTCTCTAGGATCTCTTCCCATCTACCAGAGGGTAAATTGAGAAAGAGAAAGGACAAAACAAAAACAAAAACAGAAACACACAGTTATTTTTACTAAGCCCTATTATGTGTTAGAACTGTGCTAAGTCCTGGAACTGAAAAATGAGTAAGAGTTCAGTGTTAGATGCAAAAGGAGAGGAAAGTGTTTCCGGTAGACAAACAAGTGCAAAGGCCATATCATAGGAAGGCCGCATGGCATCTGAGAATAAACAATTTTGCTAGTGTACAAAGTATGTTCTCAGGGTGCAGATGAGAACCAAGATAGTCTGGACATGCTAAGAAGTTTGGTCTTTAACTTCAGCAAAATAGCAGAAGCATGTGAGCTAACCAACTGATAGGTTAAATGAAGAATGCAGAAAGAGTATCTTTGGAATCCAACTCCCTTCCCCAGCTTCCTTTCTCTCCCCATTGGGAAGGCCACTGACTACCACCTAGGGGTTTGATCCTATTCTAAGTTCTGAGGAATAAAAATTAGTCCTTTGGATTTCACCTTCACATAGAGCTTCTCATGAAGCCTAAAGAAAACTCTTAAGATAAATGGCATTCATTTTAAGGTGATATAAGTCTTAAGGAGGCAGTGTAGCACATGGGTAGGATTTTGGACTCTGGATTTGGATCACCTGGCTTCAAATCTAGGCCTAACACTCAGAACCTGAGTAGTCTTGGCTTGTTCTGAGAATTAAATGACCTAACATTAAGACTAGCACATGGAAAATACTAAATAAAAGTGAGATATTATTGTATTATTGCTGATTTTATTATTATTATACTAACAGTATCATGTAAAAGAAAAGTTTAAATGTTATAGACTTAACTCAGGTTCTCTGACTTTTAATTCTCTACTGTTGCCAGCCCCAAATGGCTAGTTAAAACTTATTATGCTGATTTTTTCTATAGTTCCCATAACTGAATTCCTGATTTATTCCTTTGGTCAAGTTGTCACCTTCTGCCTTTGGGTAGTTAGGTTGGGCAGGGGCAGGGTGTGTGTGGGAATTTAAATGTAGAGTCAGAAGACCTGTGTTCAAGTTCAAGCTAAAAATAATTGTGGCTATAATTTATGGCATAAAACTCTGGAGTCTTAATTACCTACTTCACGTGTTAAAGCAAGCTCTAAGTTGATTTTTAGGGAAAATCTTACCTCTGCTCATGGTCATTTCCTATTTTTATTTGGATACACATAGTTTACTTTTAAGATTCTATTTTCATTAGGCTTCTTACAGTTCATAAAAGTGTGTCAAACATGCCTTTAGCTCAGCTGGCTGTTAAGCTACATGGTTCTAAATTTATATAAAATATCTGCAATTTATACCGCTGTCATGAACCATAAGATTGACTGACAGAAATATATTTATGAAGACAGCAGAAATAGCAGTCTGTTTGCTTCAGTGAATAAACTTTATCAGGTATCTATCTGAAGTACATTGCTTTGGCCTTCATAGAATTGCTTTTACTAAACTGTACTTTGCCTACATCAGAAACTCCAGTGAAACTCAGAGTTAAATTCACTGAATTAAACTGATTACATGAACAAATAATATAGTCACTTATATTATTAGTATAATAAATAAATTGGGCATTAATATGTTTAGCAGCATTAATAAAGTACAACTACTACCTTTTGTTCAGGATGTTTCCTAACCATTTATTCAATTTTATTCCAGAAATAAAGTCTATAGTTACCATGTGCTGTGATGTGGTGTGGTATGGTATTTAGACCTATCTGTATCTATCCAGACCAGATGGTATGAAAGACTATTTCAAAGGAGAGAAGTGGCTGTTCTATGTCATGCGTTTGAAGAAACTGAGTCTTAAGTTACCTATTAATGTACATGTGTACACATAAATCTGTAGAAATTTGTTATTGTAGGTTATCAAATTTGTTATTTGTTATTGTAGGTATTTGTTATTGTAGGTTATGTGTACACATAAATCTGTAGAAATTTGTTATTGTAGGTCTAATTTGCACATCGGGTGGGAAAACACATTTGTACAAGTCTCATATCCAGCAATGACAACAAAGCATCTCATTTTTCTAAAGATTTTAAAATGCATCTAACAAATATAAACACAATATTTTATAAGAATGGTAATAGTTGATACTCACTCTAAGCCCAGGAAATCCTGGAGGGCCAATGCTACCTACAAGTCCCTATGTAAAAGAAATGTGCAAAGTTGGTTAAATATGATTCCAGACTATGTAGAGTGTTTTGTAAAGACAAAAACTTTTAGGAAAAAAAAATCAAATTTTACCCTCTTCTACAGCTAACCTCTGATTCTTCCCTACTCTTCTGTATCCTCCTAAGAAGTGCAAATCTCTGGTGGACGTTTATGTTCTTCAAAAATGCCCTTGGCTCCATGCTTTTGGATGCCAGGACTATGACCTAGCCTAGGATATAGATTGTTTGATGTCTTTTATTTCGCTAATAAAGGAAGTAAAACCCATAAATAGTCAGCATTATAGACATAACCAGCCTATATATTGTATAAAAGGATAGGTGGTCAGCATATAGAGTTAGAAGAACATTTTCAGATAGTTTAAAACACTCTCCACTCTTGAAGTATAATATTTAGATTCTCTACACTTCAGTTTTCTCATTTACAAAATAGGAAAATAACATTTGCTCTCACTGTTTTAAATCACAATGAAAACTGTCATAATGCATAAAAGGTTTTGAAAAATTTCTCACAAATATAAGAAATTACCAATACCATTAATTATGCATATAACAAAAGAGATTTTAAATCAATATTAATTTTTCCAGTTGATTTGTGATGGTCTTTTGGACTTGTCATTACAGTCCTTATGGTAATTCCTAACCCACTCCATGTCAGTGTTACATCATTTACATGATACAAAGTACAAGAACAGCACCTGCCTTTGCAAGTTGTTTTGAAATTAAGGCACAGTATAAAATATAAAGAATTATGAACGAATAAACAAAAAATCCAGTTTATTCTTCTATGTTAAAGATATTAAAGCCTGAAAATGCTCTTCAAGAAGCATTATATTTAAATAAAGAGTAGATTTCAAAAAGACACATTTCATATATGGTAAAAGTCCAACCCTAACAAACTTCATGTATACTGAATGTACTGACAAAAAAATTAAATAAGATGGCTTCACAGTAGTTATGCAAGTACATAAATGGTATGAGAAAATGAGAAATGGTAAGAGAAAAGTAAATAATGCTTACTTTATTTTCTATTTTATTTATTTATTTATTTATTTATTTATTTATTTAGAGACAGAGACAGTGTGAGTGGGAGAGGGGCAGAGAGAGAGAGAAAGAGAGAGAATCCCAAGCAGGCTCTGTGCTGTTAGAGCAGAGCCTGACATGGGGCTTGAACTCACAAAACCATGAGATCATGACCTAAGCTGAAATAGAGAGTCGGATGCTTAAATAACTGAGCCACCTAGGTGCCCCAATAATGCTTACTTTATTACTCTTGAAATGAAAAGTTCCCCAGAATCAAGGGCAAGAAAAAGATGGTAAACATTCTACTTAAAATATCATTCAGGTTTTTAGCAATTTCTTTGGAGATCAGTTCCACTCTTATCTGCCAAGCCTCACAACAACTAAAACTTTGACTAAATTAACTGAATAAGCTAATAAAGTCATAATTTAGAAAAGCAAATTAAAAAGAAATATTTTCTAACACTTTAAGTATAAATACCTAAATATAGGAACTATTCTCAATTTAGGCTAAACGGGCTTAGTGGTTGACTCTTATTCACCTTAAAATCTTATTAAAAGAGTCTGTTCATGGAATAGATTGGGAGGTATTTGCTAGATGCTCTTTGAGAGCAAAAAAGTTTAGATTTTTCTACCTAGCATCAAAAAAACGACAGTCCATCACCATTCTTTGACAATATAATTAATTATAGAATGGTAACTCCCTAACCTGAAAATAATAGCTGAAAAATCCCAAAGGAGAATATTTCTCTATAAATAGATACCTAAAAATCAGGTAGATCAATGACAGGTTTGAGTCAAAAAGCAATCACTGAGAGCACAATTTTTACATGAGGCTTGTTGGTACATTCATGTACATGAAAGACTTCTCCTCACCCCCAAAATATGTCTTATGTTCATATATTTCTAATATTTTACTTAAGCAGTTACATTTAACATGGCCACAATAATTAATTTTGATGATTATATCCCAAGACAGAATTTACTCAGAACATTTTTGTTTTATTTCCCACAATGAAAAATTACAAACTGTTGGGGCGCCTGGGTGGCTCAGTCGGTTAAGCGTCTGACTTCGGCTCAGGTCATGATCTCACGGTTTGTGAGTTTGAGCCCTGCATCGGGCTCTGTGCTGACAGCTCGGAGCCTGGAGCCTGCTTAGATTCTGTGTCTCCCTCTCTCTCTGACCCTCCCCCCATTCATGCTCTGTCTCTGTCTCAAAAATAAATAATCTTAAAAAAAAAAAAAAAGAAAAATTACAAACTGTAATGTGCACAGAGGTATCAAAGCTTTCTGGCCAATGCTGCTTATGTGAATGTCATAGTGAGGATGGCAAATGTAGGTGCTGGGGCATCTGGGTGATGTCAGATTGCAAGGCTGAACCATCACAGTGTACTCACAGGACTGCCATCAGGGCCAGCAGGGCCTCTGTCTCCAAAGTCACCTGGAAAACCCTGGACCAGGGAAAAAAGAAGAAATGCCATTAAAGCCAACATAGATAAAGAATTCATTTTTGTTCTATTTACTGCTAAGGAATTTACTAATAGGAAATATTTATTTCCTAACTTTTAAATTGTAGTGCAAAAAAACCTTACATTTGTTTTGCATAATACTTCATTGATTTTGTTAAGTATACTATTTCTATGATTTGCAAAAATTATTTTAGATGTCACATAATATATACAGAAAACTAAATTTGAGAAAATATACATTTGTTCATTATTATATAAAGAATCACTGAATGAGAGGGAACATAAAGATTTCTTCCTGACCAATCCATTAGTTCTCTCCACTATTTCATGCTGGTCCTACACGCACATCATAAAGAATAAAATGACTAATGTTATTTAAGTATGTACATAGCACATTTACCATGTGCTAAGGGCTTTAAACAGTTTAGTATACACACACTACTTCATTTTATCTTCATAACAGATCAAATTAATGAACATTAATATCCTCATTTTGCATTTGAGAAAACTGGAGCACAAAGAGCTTAAGTCACTTGTACTCGCTAGTGATGAGCAGGACTGAGATTTGAGTGGAGAAAGTCTGAACGCAGAGTCATGTTTTTTCTTCTATTCTATACTGAATACTTTAGCTCATCATTTCAAGATATGATAAACAGGTAAAAAAATACCATCTCCGTACTGTATTATTGGGGAAAGCCATAATGCACATACATACTGCAACCATAAAATGCAGTGCCACTGAAAATTAAACTTCCTCAATGCCTGCTGAGGAAGGATTCTACGTTGTAAAACTATGAAGGATAGTAAAGTGACACACTTTCTTATTACATAGTCTTTTGTAAAATAACTCAATCGCTTACTTTTACTTTGATACTAAAATTTTTCTCTAAAGATTTGCCACTAGACTTATCAATTTTAAAGCTCTCTGTTTGAAGACTACTTTGCAAAATGATTTGTAGGATTTATTATAATCAACATTTTAATAACATTCATTTTTAAATTGTTATAAGCCTCACAAAAATTGAAGTACATTATTAAAGTCTTATAATCTCTTTATTAGGCAAGCCACTTATTAAATATCTATTTAATAGATTGCCAAAATCACTGGTTCACTAGTACACACATGAATGCACAAAATTTAAAAGACAGTTTAGCAATGGAAAAAGAAGTATGATATTTCTAAAACATAATTAACTCATACTAGAAGCAGTTTTTCTTATTCTGTAATCAGAGGATAATGCAAAAACCATCTGCATAGTCAAACATAGTGTAGCCATAACCTCTTCAAAGTCAGTTGAAGTTCAGGCAGGCATTTTGCTTTCCTTGTCCTTGGAAGTCAGATTCTGTTGTCAACAAGCTCACATATCGGCAATACATCATACTATTCGGTATGAGCTAATAAGGATATTTCAAAGTATTTATGATGTACAGGTAATGGAAAAAGTAGAGGAAAAATTCTGTAATAAATCTGAAACAGAAGAGATGATTGATTTTTTAGATAGATCACAAGTAGGTTTTTCAGAAAGCTCAGTGAAATAATAAAGACTGGGGCACATTTTGCATGATTCCATTAATGTGAAGTGTCCAGAACAGGCAAATCCACAGACATAGAAAACAGATTAGTGGTTGCCTAAGGCTGGTGGTGCAGGGAGAATTGGGCAGTGACTCCTAGCAAGTACAGGGTTTCTCTCTGGGTGAAGAAAACGTTCTAAAACTAGTCTGACAGCTACACTACTCTGTCAATATAACAACAAGCACTGAATTGTACATTTTTAAAAGGTGAATATTATGGTATGTGAATTAGGTCTCAACAGTTTTTCACAAAAAATGAAGACACAATCAGTCTGAACAAGGAGCAGAGAGAAACCATCCTTGGGGACTCACTCAGGATTGCTCTCTGGGACTGATTGGCCCCATCCTCATCCAGTAGGAGGAGCTGCTCTCCAGTTCAGCTTTCCATAAAACTAGTGATTTTTATGCCCCAGGAGGGGAAAGGGGGGAGATCAATTCTTCACTTAGAACAAAACCTGCACATACATAATAAATAATAAATTACTTATTAATTTCAACTACCTATTCTCCTGGTAGTTCAACAAAATATGTAATAAATATTAGGTGTTCAACTTGACTTTGCCCCTGAAACAATTTAATTAAACTGAGTATTATCTACTTTTAAAATTTTTATGTACCATTTCCCCTCTCACTTCACTACTCATTAAATGTTTCACTTCATTCTTAATTCTCTAGTCTAGACAAAGATCATTTGTTTTATTATTTTTAGTCCTTTGTACATGTTGACCATTGTGTCATCAATTTCCGAAATAATTCCTATTAAATCTAGACACACTTTCCTGTTTAATGAAATATAGCATAGCTAATGCCACAAAAAAAAACCCATAATTATATTTGGCTATGTACTGGACATTTTATTTTAAAAAACATCATGCCAATGTTTTATGTTGTTAAGTATGTCATTGTTTCCTTTTTATCAGTTGTATTTTGCATGGAATTTATCAATTACATGCATGATTTTTTTTTAATCCAGGAGAGGTTCTATATTCCTTAAATTAGGAACCTAAAAGTTTGCAGCCACAAATCTTCATTGTCAAAAACCTATCTTAAAAGACTCATAGTGAAACATGGAACAATAGTGACAAAACACTTTGTCTTTGTACTTAGAATACAAAAGATAGTTTCTACAGTTTCTTTCTCCACTGGAAAGAATTTGTTATAAAATGCAATACTAGATTTTCTCTCATATTTACCTAGTGGAAAATTATAACCATTAATTTAAATCGAATTGTGCTTCCCTAGAAATATATTCACACTGCCAAAGGATTTAATAACCATTTTCCAGGATTATTGTCCATAGGGAAGCTTGAGTTTTTCCCTTTCTTGTCCCATTTGCCAATTTCATCAACATAGTAACTGTCTACTAATGGGCAAGCCAGAGTTGCACTGCTCCTTCTGTGTTGTGTATAATTCTCTTTTTTTTCCATTTTTTCCATTTTCATTGTTTTCATCAGTTATAAAATTTTATTTTATAAAGAATATGACATTCCAGGAAATTCATTTGATTTCTTCAAGTTGTGAAAAATTTTCTTGCTTATTTCCAGTTTGGTCAATATAGTGGACAGACTTTAAGGTGACATCCAATGATTCCAATGCTTTATGTGATACCCACCCTCTGAGTGTGGGTCGGACTATGATTTGCTTACTCTAACCAATAGAGTGCAGCACCGCTGGTGGGATGTCACGGATGTGATTATGTTCTACTATATAAGACTCCATCTTAGCAGCCCAGAACTAAAGACTTCCCTTGTGAGCTTGATAGAGTAAGCAGCTGTGTTGGAGATGCCCACATGGCAGGGAATTGTGAGTGAACTCTAGGAACCGTGGACACTCCATAGGACCTAAGGGTGGCCTATACCCAAGAGCCGGCAAAAATCCAGGGCATTCAATTCCACATCTTTAAAGAAATGAAGTCTTCTCACAACCTGAATGAGGCTGGAAGTGAACTCTCCCCAAGACAAGCCTCCAGATGATCTTGCAGCCAGCTGACACTTTGATTACAGCCTTGTGACCCTGAGCAGAAGACTGGGTTAAGTAGTACCTGGACTCCCTACCCCAGAGAACTGTGAGGAAATAAATGGGTGCTGTTTTAAGCCACCAAGCTTGTGATATTTGTTATGCAGCAATAGAAAGCTAATAAAATTGGTAATTAAATCTTTAAATAGAGAATGTATAAAGTCCAATTTGCAAATTTTACTAAATGGTATTTTTCAATATAAGACTATTTGCATTGTTTCTAGATTTTAAAAACTTAAATAGATCACATCTCTGAAGACTTTCTATGGCTTTTCATTTTCTATTGCAAATTATAATTACTATCAATATTAGTTAAATTAAAATTTTATATTCACTTAACATTTTAAAAATTTCATCTAATTAAATATCTATATTTTAAAAACTTCATTCTAGCATTTCATATTCATCTACTTGCTAATGTAAAGAATTTTTATTATGTTTCATGAAGTTTGTGTCTATAGTTATGAAATGCAAATTTAAGAGTAACATGAATTGCTTAATAATTTAAAATATCTCAGTCTCTAAGTGTAGCTGTTGCAAATACTGCACTAACGTTATTACCTCTGAAACCATAAATCATAACATAAAAAGAAAGAAGAAAACAGAAGTCTGCATTATCAGGAAATAGTACTTCATTATACAGGATTCTATTGCATTCATACTGAAAGGAGAATTAGATAAGCTAATTAATTCATCTTTCCTTTTTAAAAAATTTTTTTTTAATGTTTATTTATTTTTGAGAGAGACAGAGCACAAGCAGAGGAGGGGCACAGAGAGAGGGAGACATAGAATCCAAAGCAGGTTCCAGGCTCTGAGCTGTCAGCACAGAGCCCAACGTGGGGCTCAAACTCACAAACCGCGCGATCACGACCTCAGCTGAAGTCGGACGCTTAACGGACTGAGCTACCCAGGCATCCCTCATCTTTCCTTTTACCAAGGTGCTTTGATGGCCGGCTCAAATCCTCTCCACAATCTTGAGCATTTTCTGTCTCTAATTTTGGCAGTGGACCACCTACTAATTTCATGGCATTCACACATGAGATTATAGGCCACAGAAATGGAGAAGAATTTCTCTGAGGCCTGAAGACACTAAACAGCTTCAAAGATGGACCACCATGATTCTCACTTCCTGATATTAATGCCTTTGTGTAGTCCCCTCCCATTTGGAATCATGGCTGGCCCACGTGGCCAACAGAATATAGATGTACAGTGTGACTTCTGAGGTTAGATCATAAAAGGCACTACACATTCCACCTTGCTCTCATGGACCACTTTATTTTGGTGCAAGTCAACAACCATGTCCTGAGGACACTCAAGTTGCCATGTGGAGAGGTCCCTATGGAGAGGAAATGAGATCTTCCAGCAACTAGCACTATGTGGCTGGCCAGCAAGTA